GTCAAATATCAGTGATGCAAGGCTGCATTTCATCATTGAATTACGAATGCTTTTTGTAAGAACTTTTTACATAATGGTTGGAGATAGGTGTATTCAAATGTACTTAATCACTTGTTTTTACATTGAAAGAAGGGGAATGCGCATAACTTAACATTATGCCGACTTATTTAACTTCATCAGGTTTCAAAGAAAAAGTGCTGGATTTTTTCTCACAGAAAGGCATTTTTAAAGCTACCATAAATTAAAATAAATTTTGTTCCTTAGACTGCTACAAAATACAAATTGGTGAATAAGCTTCCCTCAGATTTTTTAAATCGTGGCGTCATTCACCTTTGAATCCACGGAGACAACACTTTCTCACCTTTTTTATCAATTGTACTTAAGCATTTATGCCAAGGCCACCTCTTCTTAAAAAAAAAGAATTGTCTAAGTCTATGTACCACCTTAGTGGTCCCTGAAGATCAAGGAATTCGTAATACTGGGGCTGAATGAGTGTTGCCGACTTGCAGAACGGTTGAAGGCTTACTGGCATGGTCCAAAGGCACATTCACACACTCTGCATTGCTTCTGGCATAACTTAAAGGTGGATTAAATATTCAACTGGTTTTACTAAAATTTGTTGTAGTAAGCTAAAAAGAACATAACTATTTCTTAGTCAATGTAAGTCAACAAGCTTTTGAGTGGACTTTCTTTCTACGAATAACATTGTTGCTGTTCTGCAAAAACCTAATCATCAAATTGTTTTTATCGGTCCTACCCGAGAAAATACCCGAGTCATTCCTAAAGACGGAGCAAGATATAATACAGGCAGAGAATATGCATTGCCGCAGTTTGGACGAAAAATTGCGGAGCCTCAAGTGTCCGCAGAACCAAAATGAAGAGTCAGACTAACAATCAAAATGCTACATAGTCCCTCTCCTCTCCTTTTGAGCGTCGTCCTCGGCGTTTTCCACGGCCAACCTCCAGCCCGGGCCATCACAATGTAGTTAATGCTGTTAGAGAAACACCCACAAACCAACAGCCCCAGTTATCAAACTTAGCAATTCCACTAAATCTGGAGTTTCGCCCTTTTTGTAAACTGTTGGGTGAAGGAGGAATGTTCAAACCATCTCCTGTATCCATTGCTAGTCGTAAGAACACTGGTTTAAAAGCAGAGTCATTTGGTAAGGGACGGGGCTTAAAGTAGTTTCATGTGGATAAGGCTTGGCGTCGATTCCTCCAGGCCACCTTGTTCTCCCTTCAGTGCCGTCCAGTCATACCTATCCATCTGTCTTGGTTAAATGCAACTAGTAGAGAGGTGGGAAGGAATCGCGTGTTCAATTGACCGACATCTTCATACAAGTACCGTGGACAGCTGCGTCTGGAACCTTTTCAGATGGTTCATAGCTAGCATCGCTTCATTTGTAAATAGTAGTCCTGCAGAACAAGGGGCTGGAAAGATTGCCGAGAGTGGATGTCAATTTCAACCCTTCTGTTAGGGGTCTTTGCAGATCCTCCAACCTGAAGTCCATGCTCTTTTTTGCCACGTTTAACTTTAGCATTCAGAAATGTAAATCTGAATTGTTATTTGCTCGGAACGGGTTTGCATTCCGTTGCCACTAATCTGGCGCCCCAAGACTGCCCAGAAGGGAAAAGAAGTTGTAATACTAAAACCGAATATGTATTAACAACGTGCGGTAGAGCGGGGGGCCACCGGCATGGCCCGGAGGTCACGGCGCTTAGCAAAAATGCAAAGGTGGGGACCTAATCGCCCGCGAAACTAAAACAGAGAGTTAAACAAGTAATTAAAGTATTACAACTGTTTCGGTAATCAGTTCCCTTCTTATTAATGCATTCAAAAGGGTAAACAGTTGTAAATTATAAAATTTGCTTCATTTGAGAAACTTGTGTCAAAGATGCAGTCAAAATCCCTTACCCCTATTTCCGCCTTTACTTGATTTGCTTGAATTTTACTGCAGTATGTTCAGAAATTGTGGTGTTGCGACATGTATTTTAGCTAATATTACTTTAGAATGCAGGAGAAGATTAGCATGAGAGGTCGTTATTTGACGTGGTAATGGGCATGAATGGACGTAGTGCCGCTTGTGTTAAGCCGGTATACAAAAAATTCGTCCGCAAAACCGAATCAAATGATAAGTGATGGATCACTTGGGTAGGGGGCGGGGTGGAATGCAAATGCGACTAGATTATAAGTGGCTTTGTTTATTCCTGGACAACTCATCCAGAAAAGAATAGACAGGAGATGGTGGACATGAAAGGGATAGCACACAATTTATGGCTGATTATCAAATGCAGTGCTTAGATCTCGTGGTTCGTCAGAACAACCTCACGGGCTCAAAATTCACCATGCCTAACCACCCGATTTCGATGTTAATGGAAGGTTGAGGCACCTAACTTCGATCCTAGAATGAGCCAGGTGAATTTACTAATCGTACCCCTCCGACAATACAACAACCGCTACTTAACTTGGCGCGAGTTTAGAGTTATTACAAGTAAAATGTTTATCGTTGTGTGAATAGGATTGACAACCGTAATGCCTCGCTGACGTAGCTAAGTAAATACAATATTATTTTTTGGTTTACAACTTTCTATTTGTGGCCTGGTTGAGAAGCAGACGTCCACCAGACTATCACACCTCAGACGAATTTCCATACTGAGGTAAGCATTAGGTGCACACCAGTCTTGCCTCTGAACCTTTAAAGTGAGTGACCAATTTACAAGCCTAATCCGCGGAATATGAAGTGTCAGGCTGTTTCAATGTTCAATGTAGTGTAATACGATAGTGGTTTATCCCTCGGCATTGGTAAGGCGCCACTTTTGGACTTTGAATTAGCCCTCTTGTACCCTGCTGGGTGAGCTGGCCCTTTGGGCCATGCCAATGGCCCAGACACCTTCTCCGTGCTGAATATATATATTCTGCCCGAGTATTTCGTCTTCAGGGAGTCTCGGGACGCTACAGTAGTTATTACCTCCATGTGGACACCGATGGCTGAAGCGAGGACCTTGAAAATTCCTCTTATTCTTAATATCATGTCTCAAATTATTCCGGAAATATTATCAGATACAGTGAATTTGGGTGTTAGAGTTTCTTCTAAAATAAAGGCTTTACTTTAAATGATGGCAATTTCAGTTAATTTTAGTACGATAAAACCGAAGACGGCAATAAAGTTCAGTCAAGGTAAATAAACGTCAGTTCATTTTAACTAGAGTGTGCTTAGATAATTCGTAGTAGGGGTTAAGACCTTTCGAATGAATTGGTGGCAGGGAACACTGATGTCAACCCTCACAGTCTTTTTCAAAGCCATTTGATTAATGAGTCTTGTGAAGTGATGATCGGCGCGTGTGTGGTGCCGACCGGAGGCCTACTTGGTGTGCTAGCACACGATAAACATTCGATTATCAAAGCCGTCACAAGATTTTATTTACATTAGGGAGGTGAACTTTTAGGGGTAGGCGTTGAATGTGGTGAGGCGTATTGATAGAAATGTAACCAGCGCCTTTATAAATGGGATACTAGAATGGTTTAGAGGAATACTTAAGGTATATTGGACAAATTTTATAAATATAATGCGAATCTGTATGCGCGCCTGCCAAACTTCCTCATTTAGAAATCCAAAAGGGGTTGGCAACTTGTAAAGGGTAGATATATCCAATCGATTGGCATTTTAAGGAGCTAACGCGACAAAAGCAATCGACTGAATACAAATAAGGATAGAAGCGGGTAGAGAACTGAGAAACAACCTAAAAAACATTGTGCAATTAGATGTCTAGTGTTATTTGGGGTAAGTAGATTCTCGATTAGCCAATGTTAGCTAAAAAGTGTCCCCATTCCCTTGAACAAAATAGCCCTTTCAGCTAATTAAAAACTCTCATTTTATAAAAACTAGCTTATACTGATAATGTCTGCCTGTCGGGAGCGAGAATGCAAGAAATCCAAATGCTAATCGACTGTTGCTTAAATACAGAGTTAGGGACAGTTTAGCTACCGTGAAACCTCAACAGTGTGGTGACGGGAATAGGATGTTTTAGCACAATGACTACACAACTGTGCTCCTTATTTCGTACATAAGTGTACAACTCTGCTATAGGAAAACTCGTAGATCAGCTCTTCCCCCTGCCCTCGTGCGCTTAGAACACCTGGGATTATTCAACTTCGACATGTTTATTCGGATAAGTAGATAAGGGAAACAAGCACAAGTTTAGGGGAGTGTGGACGCAAAAGCTCTCCTCAGCTTACTCATCATTGAAGTCTCAGTCTTGAGGTTCAACTCGTATGCCATCCTTCACTATGAAAGGGACATTAAAACAACATAAGTAGTACACTATATCTCACTGTTAGTAATGGCGTTATAACATTACCATATTTTAAAATAGCCTTATGGTTTCCTAGTCCCTTCTATTACTTACAAGTGCTCACTAGTGGATTTCAGAGACCGAGAAGCTATAAAATTTCCTGGTCTTGAATCATCGGCATTTAGCTTTTCGGAAACACTTGCAAAAAAAATATAACAGCATTAATAATTAATGTGTAAGACGTGTACAAACTAGTAAAATGTTTTGCGCTTTTTTTTGCGTTTAAAGCAGCTTTTTAGGTTGTCATTTTTTATATTTGATCAGGTGCTTTGTTTAAATCGATCAGTTGCACACGTCTACAATATAAAATGTGATGGGGGTGCAATTCATCACTCTCAAGGAGGTAAATCGAAATGTATGCTCCTGAAGTGGATCCAGATGTTTTTCAGCAGGTACTCGAAGTGATGCATCCCTTCCGACTGTCTATGGAGGACTACATGGACATCAAGAATGCACTACTAGCCGCATTGCGTTCGGGTCTTAAACTGAGGCGTCGAGACAAGTCGTCCGTAAAGATGTATCCTTCATATGTTACAAAAATGCCAACTGGTGAAGGTATGCTAAAATTTTTTAGTATTAGGCCACGCAGAATGTGGCCAATACTTAGCATTGGACCTCGGCGGCACAAATTTCCGAGTGTGCTTGGTTACACTGTCCGGTAAAAAGAACCTCCCATTGTTGAGCAAAGGACTCATGCTATTCCGGTTGATAAAATGCGAGGGACTGGCGCCGAAGTACTGCAATTTCATCTAATTCATTTTCTCTAGCTTTTTGACTATTTGGCAGCAAACATCCACGAATTTCTTCGCCTCCGTGGCCTTCTCGATAAAGAATTTAAACTTGGATTTACGTACTCATTTCCATGTGAACAGGCCGGACTGAACACCTCCTTTCATGTCCGGTGGACAAAGGGATTTTCGGCCAGTGGTGTTGTCGGGCGCAATGTTGCCGACCTCTTACAAAACTCAATCGACAAAACAGCAAGTGCAGATTTCCCGATTTCCTTAATTCTGGTTACCTTTTGTATGCTAAATCCAGCTTTCTGCCTTATGAGCTTCATAGTTTGTCTTCATATATCTCAAGATACAAATTTAAGTTGTATCGAGAAGTTGTGGCTAATTGCGTTAATCCGTTTGACGCAAATATGCAAATTTCGTTGTATTTTTTAGGGTGCAAACGTCAAATGTGTCGCTGTTGTGAACGACACTGTTGGCACCTTAGCGGCCTGCTCATTGGAGGACAAAAGATGCGCTGTTGGTCTCATTGTGGGCACCGGTTCGAATGCCGCCTATCTGGAGGATATAGACAAAGTTGAGCTGATCACAGCACGCAGACTTAGTGGTGAATTGACTGAAGAGGTTGCTGATGCCACCAGTGTTGTTATCAATATGGAATGGGGTGCCTTTGGTGATTATGGTGAGTTGGACTACTATCGAACTGAATTTGATGAGATTCTGGACAAAGAGAGCATCGTGCCAGGAAAGCAGAAGTATGTGCCTTATCTTCCTGCCTTTTTGTTTATGTGTTTGTCGGGTAAGTTATCTCGAGTTTATTTTCTTTTCAAAGGTTCGAGAAGATGTGTTCGGGAATGTACCTTGGTGAAATTGTACGTCTTATTTTGCTGGATCTCATCGAAAAGGGGCTTCTCTTCCAGGGCCAAGTTCCTGAGCGTCTGCGAAGTAAGGACAACTTTCATACCAAATATATCACTGAAACTGAAAGGTTGGTTTTGTTTTGATGACCGTAGTGTGTTCTATTCCGTTGGAAACCAATTTAACATTACGCACTTGTACTTTGTTTCCAGAGATCCACCACATCTTCTCTATAGCACTTTATACATGTTGACAGAGGACCTCTTAGTTCCTACAGTCACGCCTCAGGACAGTCGAATAGTGCGTTATGTCTGCGAGGTGGTTGCCAGCCGTGCAGCCCATCTCACTGGCGCTGGCATTGCCGCAGTGCTGGAGCACATCAAACGTCCCGAAGTCTCCATCGGCATCGATGGCTCGCTCTACAAATTACATCCGCGTTTCCGTGAGCGTATGACTGACATTCTCGATAAGCTTCTCCCTCCCACGATTCACGTGAGTCGCAGACTAGGCCTCCTTCCGTTTTTGCCTTTTTTTCTATCTATCTAATGACTGTTTTGTTGTTTCAGTTCCGTCTTCGTTTGTCAGAAGATGGAAGTGGAAAGGGAGCGGCAGCTATTGCAGCAGTTTTCGCGGGCTAGTTTTAACCAGTCGAATTGTGACCTCCTGATTCTACCGATCACTTTCTTAGCCTTATTTTCTTCCTTCAGTAATGGCCTTGGCCGTTCCCCTCTTTGCCATCCTGCCTTGCAATCAGAGTGTATATAAAACCCGATTTGTGAATCATGCGCCTTCTCAGGACAGTCACCAATTATTCATTTATTCTCTTTGCCTTTACTTCTCTCCATTACATCCTTGTCAAGACTTGCGATTTCTTTTGAATAAAGTATGCATACTTAATGCTCATCAAGAATTTATTTTGTTGTCCTTTATTGGATCTGCTTAGCAGAGGTTTGAAGTTGATGGTCTCTATTTTAGTCGAATCTTTTCATGATTCCAGTACTATTCCAAGGATCTTATTCTTTGTGGAATGGCTTTTTGAACCTTGGTTTCTTGCGAGTTAGGGTTAAAGATCGTACTTTTGTGGGGCAGCAGATGAACGCCTTCCTCGACCCTACTTGGGCATGTAAATTGGGATGGGAGAGTTGATCAGTGCAACGACCAGTCAGACTGGATGTTGATGTGTTGACACCTCTTGATCGGATCCAGTACTAGAGAATGCAATTGCAGCTTATCGTAGGATTTTTGCGGTCAGATTTCAAAAAGGAGGGATGACCTCATTACTGACTTAAGACCTCGATGCATTCCGCATGGGGCATGTGCGGTCTTGTTAGTGTCACGTAGACGGGATTGTGGATACAATTTTCCCATTCATTGCCTAGAGGCGAATTGAGCTGTCTGTCAGGCATTTGAGGCGAGTGGTAAACATGATGGATGAGTGCGTGTGGATGTGTGTGTACGTGTTTTTTTTTGGAGATGGATCAAAAAGCACGGCAAAAAGGCGATGCACACGCCCATCGCTCGACTGCGAGACGGGTGGGTAGTACTGGCGCTTTAAGAGGTAGGCGAGTCCATTGTCACACCGCTGTCTAAATGGTGTCTAAAGCGTTCCTATTCTAGCAAATCATGAATAAACTTCACAACTGACAACTTGTCCCAAATTGCATCGTTTAAGGAAACAGACATTTTTAAAATGGAAATGATTTAACTAATGGGCAAGCCTCTAGCACCACACAATTTTAGTGATCTGTACACCAAGTCCTTAAAAACGAAAGAGACGATGCGGAAAAGCGGATGTTATGATAAATGTGTCTTGGATGGCGCCATCAGTGCTATTGCGTCGCATGTAGATTGTCAACGTGGGGTTTGGGGATTGTCTAATGCATTTTTACCGGGGAAAGCTAACACTATCTGAATGAAGAGAGGAAGTATTACTTAGGAGTTGACACTTAGGGTGTTATTACTTACTGACGTGAGCGAAATCTGTTCTGTATACCACTCTAACCTTTGAATATGGACTCTGAAACATATAGACTTTAAATGGACGGATTTCCTCTTCAAACCTTTAATCCTTTCTTACACCGTTTGTGCCAACAGCAGATAAGGAATCGGCCTCAAATTATCCTCACCTTTCTACGACAAGAGGTGAATACTTCAGATTAAACTGCATTTAATCGAGTAACTGCTATTTACCGCTAAATATGTGGGATATGGATGGATTCAAATGAGGGAACGTCTCATAAAATAAATTGTTTATCCCCCGATAAAGTGAAAAACAGTATTGTTGTTAGTGGCGCCAATTTACTTTACAAAGTGTTCTGATTAGCAAGTAAATAAATAAATCAATTTGTGGAGTGAAATTATCTGCGTAATTTGACAGTTATGCGGTTTTGTGCAATAGAATGCAAGTTTCTTATATTGGACTGATGACCCATAAATCAGACCTGAGTGTTACCATTGCTGTTTTGAAATTTTACTCCCCAATTTATTCTTTTATTTATGTGTTAACACCTGGGTAACCAAGGTGTACCCTAATGTCACGTGATATGAAGGTGTCATCGATGATGGCGCTTTGCAATGCTACCTACCTGAACTACAGACATGTACATTGCAATTTAGAACGGTTTCCAAACAACCAAATGTTTATCTACCCATGATTTGGTGAACTGGGCATGGTATTTAATTAATGTGATAAGATTAAATAACACGCATTATGTGGACTTCCACACTTTTACCTGCATTTTTATCGCATCCTGCCAAATTACTTGTTGCCTTCTCTCCAGTCTTTTCTGAAGTCCTAATGAGCCATTCCAGCAGGCGATTTGTTGCCAACACACGATTTCACCACTAAGGCAGGTTTAAACATTACGGTGGCTGAGGAGCTCACGCACTTAAAAGTACTTTCAAATAAATGTCAAACCATTAAAACAGTACTGTTAACAAAAGTGTGTAATGTCTTCTTTTAAATCTGAATCTGAACAATAACAATACGGCATCACGATTAACTTAACTATTTTTAAGCAGTAGACATTTGGAAAGGGGAGGTTTATTGGCCAATTCATAAGTGTTTTTTAGCAAACGGTAATTCTGATATCCACTTTGCTCTCTAAGTAGATCACTGCCCTTCGTGCCCGATTATGATATGAATTCGAGGGGACAATGTTAATTTAGCAATTGTTTAGAAGAAAATTGAAATACTACTTTGATATCCACTTTACAAATTTAATTGCTGACCAAAGCGTCCACCCATCAAAAAAATTAAGCTTTGAAATAATGATTTGAGATCGCCCCGACACAAATTCTCACTCGATGGATTTCTGGTCCGCGTTCTCGTTTTCGCTTACCCGCTCACTCTCGTGCATCCTGTACCATCGTCATTCCCATAAACACGGAAAATCCCGCCACTGAAATGATTTAATTGTCGGGTCACATTGTAGAGGGCTAGGGTACGCATACCGCCTTTTTTCGCGCACCGCACAGCACCATATCGTACACCGACATGCGCTAACCACACCCATTCTACCTTGCCTTGCTTCGTCTGCCTATTTTGAATTTGCTCATATGTGTACGTTTGGTGACGCCCGTGACTGACTAGAGGGAACCTGTGGTCACCCGTTTTTTGTCCTATTAGACCGCATGCTCATCTCACCTACATGGAGGTAGACGAGGTGTGGTTAAGCTACCAGCTTTGTCCAGACAGCGTTTTACTTTTTTCTCCCACTGAGGGGTAGCGGAGTTAGTCGTAGCCCCTGGCCAGAATGCAGAAGGGGGTTTTGTACCAATGTAATAGGGGTTTTCACTTTGTTTCCACGTCGAAAGAGGAATTTGTCCACCTATTTGTTACTGTAGTCTGCCATATTTAGTCAAAATTTTATGCTTATCAGGATATTCTATTTGCAAAAAAATTTCCTTAACTCAAAATACTCTTCAATAGGTTTAATTTTAGACCAGTTATGCCTAAGAAGTAGCATTGATACAATCGAGTTATTTATAAATTATTAAGATACTGCAAAACTGAAGTTCACAAAGTTCGAATATTTTCATTATCTGGGTGATGACTACTTAATTCTGACTGGAGCATCAAATTTTCGACCATATGCGGAGTTTAAAACTTGAACACTTGAAAGCATATCTCTCCCAATTAAGCAATGCTTTTGGATCCAGGGGTAGGATAGGTTATATATGGATGTATTCTGAGCTTATATGCGTTTCAGTTGTCAGTTCCCTGTTTATTGCCAATTTTAAAGTTAGTGGGCGGACTTTTCATGCAGGTGATTGAATCTCGATGCACTTCCGCGTCACGTATCCTCCATCCTAAAAACAAAATACGAAGAGTTAGTGAACTAGGCCTTTTGATGTGTCAGCCGGGTTTGAAAGGCTGCAGTTCTTTTCTATGTAAGTGCAAAAAATTTAAAGAAACGTCATGCTTTAAGGAATGGTTTGGAGAGTTAAGCATCTGCACATAAATAATTGGGATAGAAACAAGAGTAGGGACCTATACTTTGGGGAAAATCCTGAATTGCCCTTCCTAGACAGGAATTATGCCAGAGAAGTAGCATCGGAAAGGACTACAAAAGTGGAGCCACCTTCATATCACCTTGATACATTGCCATCTTAAGGAAGGATAACATGATTGAACGAGGTGATAGATTAATAGATGACGAAAATACTGACTGGGTCGCTTTTCATAACTCATAAAGAGTTTGTGCTCATTGCGTGGGTCGGCCTTCCATTCGATGATGCGAAGCAGGGCGTCCGGTGTGTCAGTAATGATGGCGTTGGTGAAGAGGATGTTCATGCAGTGTGCCCGTGTCACTCCAATCATCAATCGCGAGGTCTCCGTGTATTTTTGAAACAGAGCTGGATTTGGTGTCTAGTTGTGGCAACGTTAGTGGCTAATCAATCCATGGCATTCAAAAGAATCCCAATGAACTATTCAACACGGCATCTCTGCCCGTAGAGTTATCCAATAAAGCTACAATACAGTTACTCCACCTACCACTTGGCTGTGCTTTAGTTGTTTTCGTATCAACAAGGATGCATGAATGCATGCTGCAGAGCCTTAATTAGTCGTTTCCTCTACTGGAAGTAATTTCAGTTTGGCCTGGATGAAGCTTTTTACACTATAAACGTACATTAATGGATTGCTGCATTTTGTAGGCCTTTAGAATCCACTGAAGGGCCTCCTGTGCCTGTCCCGCCTTGTCGTAGGCGTGGCCGAGCAATCGACTTGCCTTGCAAAGCTGCAGCCAGTCGCAGTGCTCCTCGCACAGTTCAGCATATATCTTCAGATATCGAATCGTCTCTTGCATGTTGTTCTGTCTAAAACATAAATATGTGCGCAGTAAATTACCAGAAAACCGCCTTTATTACACTTGCCATTGTGCCATTCCCCGGTGGTTCCTTGGCGTTTCGCTCACTATAGTTCTGTCAACTGTTGGAATTTGGGCAGTGTGCAGATTTGTCTTATCAGCACTTGGTTATCAAGATACCCAAAACTATCTTTGAAGGTCATTGTGGGGGTGACAAATTTTTGAAGGCTATCCATGGTAAATCTTGGTTAGATAGACCGTTTATGATACTGGCTGTTTATGCAGACAATTGTCACCACAGGATATTATTCCACAATAAACCACTTGAAAATTTTTTGTGGAAAGATTACCATTGAATTTAAGTCTCTTTGAGGTGAAATCATTTCATTTTCATACTTACGACTCAAATAGCTGCGCCAGAGATTCACAAGCATTGCCCAGGCTGATCCAATCATTTGCGCCTTTGGATAAATCAAAGTAGCCGCGGTAAAACTTAGTGGAAACGGAGATAAATGAGATCATTGGTACAGTTTTGCGTTTCATTAGGGGGCAACTAAGTCAGCTTACCGTAATGGCTTCGGATATTTTATTCGCTTCTTGGTACATCTGACCCATTTTTAAACTTGCTGGAGCTGTTAAGGTCCAGTCATTGCCTGCAATGGGGGTATAGAGACAATTCTAGCACATTCGGATACCCAAAGATCAAAGTTCTAATTAAAAGGCACAAGAATAAACAGTCATAGATTTTCAGAGAGGGATGAGATGGATTAGCTCACAAGTCCACTGAGGGATTTCCTGCCTAATTTTAAAGGATCATAATGGGTTTCTTGAATCATTCTACAGCCGAAGACTTGACTTTTAAATTCATTAATAAGGAAAGTGATTGCAGTCTTTTGAATGGAGATGGACGTACTAGCTGACGCGATGTCATGGGCCTTAATGCAGTAGGCCATGCGCTCGCAGAGATGTTCCTTCGGTGTAGCTTCTAGCAACGCGTGATAGATACGAACGAGATGCTTGTCTGCGTTTTTGGACATCTTAGTACCGTCCTCTTCTTTCCATGTCTTATCACGAGTCGCATTGTAGAGTTGAATGAAGAACGAGCACGCCACCTGAAGATCGCCTAGAAATCAACGGATGGATACAATTCAAAGTTCAACATCTCAGTGTCTGCTTATCAAATTTGAGAAAGAATGTGCCACAAATTCGAAGGATTGTGGTGATACCTTTGGCTTACAAGCATAAATGTCAGGCTTGCCATAAAAAATAGCCTTACTTGATTAGCAGACTGCTCTTCATTTCAGCACGCCTACATCTATAAACGGAGCCACACCCACTACAAAAACTGCGCCATTTTTTGAGGCAGATGCGATAGTTTATGAAATCACAATATGACACACTCCTTTTTCATCCAAAGCAAATGCACACACCCAGCTGGTTGTTTATAAGACCAACGTGCTTAAATATCAGGATGCGTGAAAGCACTTGCTCGGAACCTCTCACATAGTCCACTAAGTGCCAAATTCCTCACAACACTCTCTTGAAAATATGAATGCTTATAAGTAGTGTAGACTGTAAATTGTAGATGGGTTAAAATAAGAGGCGAAATAAATTAATTACACAAAAGAAAGCAAATCAGAAAACTAAAATGCGTGTATCTCGAGATACTACTTATGCCTCAGCTCAGAGCCTATGTAAAATCGCTGTTTATTAAGTCGCGTTTACACTGAGCTGTTTTATTGTGATAAAATGAACGATCTCAACACATCTGAAAAGTGGAATTAACATAATATCCAAACGTTTTTACTACCCCCTACTCTAATTCAATTACAGTTACTTAGAGTCTTCGAAGCTTTTCAGTCACTGCTTTGAATCATACTTCTGACAATTGTTTTCTCGCATTGGTATTGAACCTGTTTGAAAGGAGACAGCAAAGTTGATGAACACTACCGGTCCTGAATGTTGCTGACTTTCATATTTTGACTTGGGTCATGAGGCAATTTCCATAGCTAATTTAGTTTGACCAAATTGGTGGTTCTACCAATCGTAAGAGAAATCGCGACTGTACTAATTACAATGGCTCAGGCAAAGTGTTACATTTATCGTCATTTACAAGATATCGTGAATATGGTGACCACAAGCAAAATTCGATTCCCCTTTTTGTGAGCCGCGACCTTGGGAAACAATATCTGCCACAAGTAAAACAGCAGAGGTAAAGCATAACAGTTGACTTTCCACTGACTTCCAAGGCCATTTTTTTGAAAATATTTTTTTTAAATAAGAGCGAGTAATTAGTGAGCATTTACATTGAGTGGCCTGGATGCAAAAGTACACCTCAACACGTGACCTAAAACCAAAGTTAAATCTTGGGATAAATGTAACTAATGGGTCAAAGTTGTTGCTTTCTTTTCAGAAATCCGGTAGACTTCAATATATTTAATGACTTTTTGGACGTCCAAAAACAGTTTATGGACTGTATGCGTGCAAAGCATGTTAAAAAAACAGTTATGAAAATGAGAAGAAATTCTATTATTAAGGTTTCCCGTCGATCTCCCAATTCAATAGCACATAATTGACCCCTGAGATTACTATAGTTAATGAGAAGAAGTTCAGATCCACGGGGTTGGCCGGAAAATTCAAACAATCATTCTCCATTTTTATCTCAAAATATTTTGTAAAGCGGCAAAGAATGGCTGTGAACGGTAAACAGTTAAATCATTTCAGACTTAATCTAATCGTTCAGGATTCACTCTAAGACCTAACAAAATTATTAGCTGATAGCGTCATTGATTCACGATTGATGTAAGCGTGACATTAGTGTTTGCTAGGATCTAAAACCTTCGTATGAATTGGGTTTTACCCTTAGCCTCTTTCGCCAGTCCATTGTATTCGTAAGCCTGTGCCATCTTCAACCCTCCGTCATCGGTGATGCGTTTGGCCACAGTGAAGCAGTAATCAAAGAAGTGCTCTGCCAACCACCGATCGTCAGGATAGTCGTTGAAGTATTTGGCCAATTTGAGGTAGCACGTAAAAACAGTGTGGTTGTCCTGACGCCTAGTAGCTGCCTCTGCCTTTGAGAGCTGGTCTCTTAGCATGTGGATCTTCTCCGACTGTTCGCTGATTGGGGGAATTTTCCAGAGTGGAGAATCCGGTCCTGCTTTTCGACGCTCATCCATCTGCTTTTGGTGAATTGTGAAAATCTCGGTAAAGGCGTAGTGGTAACCGTTCTCCAGCAGATCGTGGCATAATGTCTCATAAAAGGGTAGCTGAAATCTAAACACAAAATATTCGTGGAGTAGTTTCAGCTCTTTTGCCTATTACATCGTAATCCTTCCCAGTTTGAGACGGATTCGTCATCATCTATACCATGGTGAGAAGCTTTGCCGTAAAATACCTTTATCCCGGTTCTTCATTGTATTTTTTAAAGAAGACGATTGATCAGGAAATTAATTCATCAACTGCAGCACCATCAAGCCTAAAAGTTAGTACTGAACGTCTTCTCCCTTTCACTCAATGAATGCAACCAATGCGTAGATCACGTCGGTAAAAGTTCACCGCATGTTATGGACACTTGGTGTCTAAAATACAGCCGATTTCAAAAAACGCCTTACAAGATTGGATTGGGGCAGTAAATATGATTTGTCAGACAAATGTTTAGATTACATTTCAGGCTCGCAGACCAGGCCATACTGAACAGCCCAGAATCTTTCCAGCCATGATTATTAGATAGTGGTGGCAGTAAATACTGCATCAGATGAAACTAGGCAGCGTTACCTGATTCGAATCGTCGCGCGGTCTAGTACAGTCTACACAAAGTAAATTCCTAACTAGAATTAAGCGTATCCCATGCCATCTTTCCCTCAATTTCTCTAAAGAATAGGAATGGATTACGTCTATCTCCAAGACCACCTACTTGCCTCAATGATGCCAAACCGCTTCACTATTTTTCGAGCCCTTTCCTCAGTGCCTGAGGCTTTGAAGCTAGTAGGAGGATAAAGGATCACGAGAAAGAACTTAGCCCCTGTACTGACCTCAAAACTGGTAGGAATGTAGCCTCATGACCCATCTGATCACAGGACCCAATGTACAATAGAACACTAATTCAATTTCCAAACAGCCTTTACTTCATGAGGAAAAGCCCTGTACCAAATTACAGGGTCAGCTGACCTGTCAAGAGACGTTGGTCAAATTGCACGGCCAGAAGTGACCACCTTTCTACTTTCATTGTCTTCACAGTTGTTAAAGTAAAAAAAAAACTGCGATTTAAATACCTTTCCCGGTAGCGATTATAAATAAGGCTTTTAACAAGTACCTGAGACACATAAATTACTGAGAGAATCATTGTTGTATGTCGGGCTGAGGAGCTTCCGCTGTTGTCTACTAGAGATTACTTTGTTTTGTCGGAATAGACTAATAAATTCATCAGTAAACAGAGCACGATTATTTTAACGCACTAACGTAACCACTTTGATCTAAGGTAAAATGATATCTTTAGCATAGCCAGATTTAATGCAGAAATTATTTAGAATCATTTTACTTGGTTTGCGGAGTGACCTTGACCTACTAAAATAGGTATTTACTATGGCCATCTTTGCTCAATTTTGTTTTTTTATGAAAAAGAACTAATAAACTTGGATTTAGCTGACTCAAACCTTGACCTACTGGGCAATTTGCTTTCTCGTGAGATGGGGCAATTCCGCCCGCAGTCGCAGTTTCACAGCATCGCTATTGAAGTCCTCATTCAAGAATCCACAATTGGTTGCTGCTCCCGAGTTGTTGGTATTGTAGACGAAGTTGTTGGAGGGGATTTCGGGTATCTCCTCCGGTACGCCTTGTCCAGCCATAGGCTTAAAATCTGCTTTTGGCTCCTCAGTAAGGTTTCCGTAACGTTGGTTTAGCATTGGGAGATTGCATGGTGCAAAGGGATTATTCTTGGCATTAGAAGGACTTAGAAATGACTGCTCTTGTGACATTTCTGGGGGCCTAGTCTACTCGTCTTTTGGACATTTGCTTGTCGCAAACACAACAATAAAGTGCAACCAATCGAATTTTCAAATTTTTTACAACAAGCTAATAAAAAATTGAAAAACTGACGGAGGAGAAATTTGAATTCATAGGCGGCGCAGATGGGAGTTTGAAAATTTTTGCTCCCTTAATGGCTTTCATTCCAATCATCTTTGTTCACCCACCGCCATCTTTCCCAAAGGCATTAAAAAATCGGATTTGTCTTTCCTAAAGACTAAAGAAGTCCAAATACTAGAACGGAATGTCTATTGCCTACTTACAAAAGGGCTGGGATGGCTACTAGTATGGCCCGAGGGCCTCCGGAAATACAATTTCGGGACTCCCAGTGCCCACGAAACCAAAGCAAAAAGTTAAGGGAGATATCAAGTTATTATGTAATTTTTCTCCCCTTCTAAGCGTCGTCCCTAGAGCTCCACTTGGTCAAACTCCTGCTTCGGCCATCATAATGTAATCGGTGCTGTAAGGGAAAGACACCCACCAACCATTGCCGCGGTTTATGAATTCGCTTTCAGCTGTGATGTTTTAGCACCACGTTACTGATCCTTCTTGGCAATTCTACTGGATCTGGAGTTTCGTTCTACTTGGAAGATGTATTAAGGGAAGGGGAACTGAGTAGGTTATCTTGCATTTCCGTTTCTAGTCGTAAGAACGCTGGTGTAATAGCAGAGACGGAGTCGTGCATTTCTCTTTGCCACGTTGTCCTCTCTTCAGAGCTACCCGACCATATCTCTCTGGATTATATTCAGCTAGTAGAGAGGTGGAGGTGGCATCGCCTGTTCACTTCATTGACATTTTCACCCAGGTACCGTAGATAGCTCTGTAATGAGCCTTTCCAAATGGTTCACGACCAATGCCAGTGTCGATCTCATGACTTTTTGATGGCATTTATGAAGAACAAGGCACTAGAACAGTCGCTGAAGTTGAAAGTCATTTTCAACTCTTCTGTTAGGGCTCTTCAGGGATTCTCCCAGCCGTAGCATATGCTCTTCTTCGGTCACGTTAAGGCTAAGCACTCAGCAATAGAAATCAGGGTAGTAGTCCTTTGGGATAGGATTCGTTTTACCCTAAAGTTTGGGCCTTCGAAACTCAAACAAAATGTTAAAGTCACACATAGTTCCCGATCTCCTCATCTGAGGGTGAAGCCACGGATGTGTAAATTGTGTGCCTTATCGGTTTGTTGCAACTGGTTGCAACAAATCGTGTCCCAAACAGGCTAGTTGAATTTAAAACAATGTAGTAGATGGAGAATATTCATGTCCTGGTAATAACTACATTTGTTGGAGTATGTGCAACAGTTTAAGTGGCTCTAAGACTTCATGACAAGTGGTGTCACGTTTAACCAATAAATAACTGGACTGTGGTGACCAATTTTTCCCTCAGACCCCGGCATGAAATGTGCCAAACGTGATAACTGACGAATTTTCTAGTGCAGTCGCTTATTAAAAAAGAATTTTATCTTAATTCCATAAAATTTTAATCTTGAAGATGTTTAATACACAAATCTAGTCACGTGAAGGTGTTGCTTTTTCTGGGACACTGTTCAGTGACCTCCACTTACTCAGGCATACGCCACTGTGAAGGTGCACACTACTTTTTCCTTGTTGTGACGTCGATAACTCCTTTGTTTATTTCACCTGACCCCACCACCTTGACAACACAGCAATTGCCCAAATCAAGACATCATTTGCTAGGGGGCTGGGCACTGTGGAGGAGGATTATTTACCTTAACCCGAGGTGCTCACGCCAGCGGTGACGTTAATACTGAACACCAGGTTTATGTAAACACTGGAAATGTGGCACCAGCACTGCACAACACAGAATCATAAGTCGGTAATGGTAGATGTGGTGGATCCTTTAAATGTTTCCGACAATCCTTCATCGTTTACGGATCTTCATGGGTGGCGAAGTGTACTGATAACGGTCTCAGTCCACCGCCATCCTCTCCTCTTTCTGAAGCATGACATTTTCGGGAGAGTAGATTTGTCTAGTTCTTAAACATACATTGTTGGTGAGAAAACCTATGATGATCTTAAACAGAAAGGCTGAAAATGATATCCACCTTTGGCAACTACCCCACTTCTATGGTCTGAAAAATGCTATTAATAACTGAGGCAAGCAACACTAGCCGTGAATCATCTAGAAAAGCTTTGTTACAGAGCTGTCTACGACACCTAATATGAAGTTGTCAATGAAGTGGACACCCGATACCTCCTTCACCTTTCAACCAGCTGAGTAGAACCCAGACAGATAGATGTGGCTAGGCGGAACTAAAGAGAGAACAAAGTGGCAAGAGAGATGGGTAGCGCTACATCCCCACAAAACTATTTTTAACCCCGTTATTTATTAAATAGCTTTGCTTTCAGGCCAATATTCTTACAACTAGCAATGGGCACATGAGATGGCTCCCCCTTCCCCCTTTCCCTATTACGGTTCCTAAAT